ACAAGCCAGATTGGAGAAAAATCAGTGATGTAAAGAACAATAGTGACAACTGGGTTCAAGCATTTTCAAATTTCTTGTCACTGGAATCTTGTCCAAACTTTATTAGGGCAGATGTTGAGAGAGCAAAGCGGCATGAAGAACCTGATGCCAGAATCTCAGATGATGAAGAAAGCGAACAAAATTCAAACACTGAAAAACCAGAATGGATGGATCTTTTAGCACCAAATCCTGACTTGGACTACAATTGTCCTCAATTTGTTTATGACGATGGAGGACCAGATTACGATTGGAGTTCAGAAACCATTCCTTTCCCAAATGACAAAGGCATAAAGTTTATTGAAAATATCAATGTACCGCTTGCAGACAGTGATACCAGCAGTACACTAGATCTTCCTAATGTTTAACACTTATCTTTGAATGAAGAACAAACATTTGCTTATAATCTTGTTATGAATACTCTTATTCACTACAAACAAGACTCTTCAAATGTACAACCATTGAGGATGATCGTTGCTGGCACTGCAGGGTCAGGAAAGAGTTTTTTGATCAAGTGTATAGTGAAGTCTATCAGGGAGCTTTTTCAATATAACAAGGCTGTGCAAATCCTGTGTCCGACTGGAAATAGCGCTAATCTTATTTCTGGGATTACACTGCATAGTTTTCTTAAGATTCCTACAGGACCTAAATCAGCCAAGGAATTGACTCCTCCTGTAGGTAGTACACTTTCTAAGCTTCAGAGCGATTGTGATGGGGTACTTGCCTTAATTGTTGATGAAAGATCTCTTGTAGGTTGCACTACTCTTGGGTGGATGGAATACATTAGTCGTTACAGTATGAACAATGGTTCTATGTCTTCTTCGTCATGGGGTGGTTTGCCTGTAGTTTTGTTCCTAGGTGATGATGTACAACTGCCACCAGTATGTGATTATCCTGTTTACAACTGTAAGAGTACGAAACCTGCCGCAATTCATGGTGCAATTGTCTGGAAAGAGTTTAAAACAGCAGTCACTCTTTCAAATATTATTCGACAAAATGAGAACCAGACACAACTTAAAGATGCTTTACTGGCACTACGGAATTATAGTTTGTCAGCTAATCAAGCTAAATGGCTACAAAACTTCAAGTGGGACACATTACGAATGAATTGTGGTCAGTTATTGCTTGACAGGATGACAAAAAATGGTTTGTTTGTTTTTCCAACACATGCAGCAGAATGGGAGCATAACAAAAACCAACTGCTCAAAGCAAATGAAATTTCACCTATCGCCAGAATCACATCAATAGATCAAGGTCAGCATTGCAAGACAGCATCAAGTGACTCGACCAATGGTCTCGTAGGAACACTCTTCTTGTGCAGGGGTGCCAGAGTTATGCTTACAGTAAACTTGAATGTGAAATACGGGTTGTTCAATGGTTCCATGGGACAGGTGGTTGATATTCTTTATCTGAATGGGAACACTACTTGTGATAGCCTCCCATATGTTGTCATGGTGGAATTTACAAAGTATACCGGTCCACCATTTATTGACAGCCACCCAAAACTTGTGCCAGTTGTTCCCGTTGAGAGAAAAATAGTTTGCAACTGCTTTCATTGTAAAAGAAAACAAATTCCTCTCAGGTTAGGATGGGGAACAACAATTCATCGTTGCCAAGGTATGACGATAGGGAATGGTGAGGCACACAGATACATAGTCATTCATCCTGGTAATAACCAATTTGAAGCTAGAAATCCAGGGGCATTGTTTGTAGCACTCTCTAGAGCAAAATCAGCTGGTGGAGATGGAGAAGATCCTCACTTCGCTTGGCATCCTCATGTTTTGGTCAATGAGGACAGACTATGTCAAAAAGTTTGCACTTACACTACCAGGGCACGCACAAAGGAAATTGAAAGAATACAATCACTTAGTGATATCACTAAAAACACATATTCCCATCTTTTGTGTAAACATAATAACTTCAGGAATGAATCCCCGATGGAAGAATAAAATACCCAACTGTATTAGTTTGTTGCACATTAACTCCAGTGGTGGGTGATATGTCAATCACTAACCCTAAGTTTTGTGTGACATGTACATTTCCATAAACTTACACAAATTCAATCCCCTTTTCATGTATAAATCTCAAATGCATACATATTCTCATCTTTCGTGTTAACATGATTTCTTCAGGATTGACTCCCTGATGGAACAATAATGTACACAACAAATTGTACGAAGTTTCAAATAAATTCTCTTGGGATGCCATTTCAAACGGATCATACATCAAGTGTTTCAAAAACTATTGAATTCATGACTACTTAATGATTTACTATTTCATCCTTGCCAATTTCACTGTCTATAGCACTATTTTACATGATATATTTGGATACATTTTTCCTCATGTTTCATATATGTTTGAATTTCTCATGGAGAGAAGATTAAAATTTATCCCTGTACAATTTTATTTCACTCTAATGTTGGGTGATTATCGATCGCAAACCCTGAGATGTTGTGTAACTCATGTACCTTTTTTATAATCTTATAATTTCCACAAACAAATAAACATGATAAACTTCTACTTAATTAGTTAACTGTAGGTATCAAAATTTTAAAAGTTCACAAATAAAAAACACAAAAATTGTAAAATACTATGCATAAATTCTCTCTGGATACAATATTTATAAATCAAGAGCTTGATCCTTGGTATGGCTTGAAGTTAAGTTTGAAGTTATCCAAAGGACTTATTCTTAAAGATATATACATATATATATGTATATATCGTTTCAAGGATATCAGAAAACTATGCTAGTATACATGATTTACAATATCTATCCTAATATGGTTATTTCATTGTCTTTGTAGAATATGCGGCACTTGCTTTTTGCAATGGATTCAAGAGGTGCAAAGTTAGATACTTATTTAGAGTCTAATGGACCTTTTGCATTCTCACATAAATGTCATGTCATCATACGCCCAGGTGGAAAACTTCAAGATATCAAACATCATGTCAGTCAGAAAATCGACAACATCACATATTCTGATAAACTGCGCAAAATTTGGATTGTCCTTGCTGCAGGCATTTGTAATTTAACAAATAAAATTACTCATTCCGGTGGAACTGAGATACAGTATGTTAGATCTACAGTAAACGTGCAGTCTATCATTTCTAAATTTAGAGATATTTCAAATTATTTTCAGTCACTTGAAAATGTTTTTGTGAAATTCACATGTATTCCATCTGTTTCTCTTGAAAAAAATTGTGATTTAAATACATTTAAACGAAAACTGCAGTATTCTATGTATTCAGAAGAGGAAAGACAACTACAGCAAAAACACTTAGAGGAAGATCTGAAAACTAATAACTCTGCGTTACTTGCTTTTACCACACCTGTGAGATGGGATCGCGACCTTTTGATATGTTCCACAAAGAAACGTGGTAGAAAAAACAATACATCAAAAAATGTATGAAGACATCATACAAAGATTTGTATGATGGAGTGCATCCTAATGATGTGCTGTCAAATAAATGGTATTATTTCATGTGTTTGTCTGTCGCTAGTGACATAGAAGTAAAACAAGCAATTCAATTTGAAGAAGCAATAAATGATACTGACTCCAATTTCAATGAAAATGACTCTTGGGACTTCAAGCGAAATTAATTTGTAACCACGTATGAAAAAACATGTAGCAAATTCCATTTTATATATATATAAGTGAGGTGGGTGACATGCCAGTCGCTAACTGCACGTTTTAACTCAGCTGAACCAGGGAAATTCCTGATAAAACTTTGTCATCTATTTCTTTATTGTTGTGTTAGTAAACTTTTAATATGTTTGACTTTTCAAGAACTTAAGACAATTTTTAACCAATCTTGGTCAAAAAGCATTCTTGCGTTATTTTGTAATAAATTTTAGATAAAATCCCATATATATATAAATATTTTCATCATGAAATCAGCTAAATAAAAGCATATCCTATCATTTTGTCAATCTTTAAAATGAGGAGCATATATCAACTTATTATACGTATACATGTTATGACAACAAGAACAACCTGGAAAGGAAGCATGGTCATTTTGTGTGTTAACTTGTTGATAATATGTTAACCTATTTTAAGTAAATGTAAAAATGCAGTTTATTCAATTGGTTTCTTACTCCCTCAGCATACCAACTGCAATCTTTCATTATGTTTACAGGCATTTCATTCTGATTCGTCGACATTTTCAACAGGCATAGCGATACAAGTTTTTCCAATCTTCCATCAAACTCCAAGTCAAGACAAACTGAATCCGGAGGTTTTCAAGGTAAACAATTTTATATAATCATAATAACTTAAACAAATGCATTATATACACTATCATGACTATGTGCATTTCAAGAATTACATATTTTTCTTTTCTTTTTTTGAGGGGGCTGTATGGCCCCTACTGTGTGTTATGTGTATAACCAGTACTACAGTACACTACAATAAAGAAAGGAAACTGTAATATACACTATAAAGCTATATACATGTAGGTCTGATTGAGTAATTTAACATATCACTCAATGCTTGAACATTTACAACCTGGCTCCGCCCTCACTAACGTCCGTGCCGTAAAACATATTATAATTACTTACAAATTAAATTAGTGAAAAAGTTTGAAGGTGGCGAACCTGCCTGTACCTTTGAGGAAAACCACAGAAGGCCTGATGACGACACAAATGTTGCTGCGTGACGTCATTCAGGCGTTCATTTCAGTCAAATCTTCTTCTGTACTGGTATTCGTCGGCATTTTGATGCATGTGTATTTGGACGAATTTGCCTGCAATAACGTTAGATTTTAAAACGTAAACCAGGGAATGTCTAAGTAACGAAGAAAATACAAGTTTTTTATTGGTTTTATCTGGTAGACTATACATATACGTGTGTGTGTCTGTGTGTGTGTGTGTGTGTGTGTGTGATTGAATTTAAATTCCGGATAACGCGACTGTCTCTTACTACATTTAGAGTGTACTTAAAACATTTATCAAGCTCTGATCTTAACCCATCTCAGACAGGCGCTTAAACAGGAGGAGTGTTGTCATTTCCTTAATATAGGAACATTGTGCGTGTCCACTTATGTTTTCATAATCGTTTTGTTTTGTTGTGATATATATTTAACAAATATCATTAGCTGATTGACGCTTTGTAGACCGAATGACTAGGTCGATGAGTATAACTTCGTACTGTTCTGTGCAGACGCCATTTGATTTGGCAAACTGAAAGTAGACTGGCATTTGTGCAAATCTTCACAGTTTCATCATTAAAGAAATTTTCGCAAACTATTTGAACACTTTTTAGCCATGGATACCATTTGAAGCGATACTTTTGATTCATAGATAAAAGTGAGAATGATGAGACGAGGAAAACCAGTGGACCATGTCGACATTAAGGTTGTATTGCTAGGGAAAGCGTTCGCTGGGAAGACCTGTCTGGTGCAGCGATATATTCACCAAACCTACAATGACACGCCATATTCTAACGTAAGAGTGTGTTGTTATTATATCTCATCAATTTGAATTACGCAACTAAATTACTCCCTAAACTATTTGCTACAGCCTGTCTTAGTGTCGACTACAATTAATGTAGCTGTCTAGATTCGCAGATACTTGACTGTGCTTATATAAGTTTATAATACACGACTTCTACTACATACAAATCAAATCATAATTTACTGTTACATAAAAAACACAGATTCTCCGACCGCATGTGGTATATATATATATATATATATATATATATATATATAAAATAGAGACATAGAACCCCAAAAGATGTGGCCAACATTCTTCTGAAATAAATTGATAGATCACCACCACAACACAGAGTTTAGCTGTCAAAACTGACTGTCTATTGGCCTCATTATAAAGAAGATGTATGTTATTTGTCTTTAATTTTTTTGTATAAGAATCTACTGCCATTTTTCTTATTGCTTTTTCAAAATTGAGATTACATAGTGTTCAGTTTAGATTTTGTTTACAGACTATAGGTGCAGCGTTTGCATCAAAGAAGCTGATTTCCAAAGGAAAACATGTAGTGATGAATGTTTGGGTAAGTTATCAATAATCCTACTTATCATTTACAGTGATTTATGTTAAAGAAATAACCTCAGGCAACAACAATCAAAAGATAGAAAGATACAGTATTTCAAAATATCAAATTCTCAATGTCAAATGTGTCACCAAACACAGAGATTATACTTATAGGTCCAATGTATTTCCTTGATATATAAGTTTTCATATTTCTGATATAAATATGTTCTTGTGCTTTAATTCTCTGCTATAGCAAAACAGTTGTCATTGTTAATGTTAAAAGTGTAGCATATGACTTTATCCTCTCATATTTAGCACATTCAGAGCAACAGGTTCCGATAAAGTTATGCATACTGATATTAGATAAAAAAAAGAGCCACAACAAAATTGTACTTAACAGATGTACTGTTGAGGAAGACACACATAGAAAGAGTAACTGGTGAGAACAGTACACAGTGTTTGTTTGTAGGACACGGCTGGTAGTGAGCGATACCAGTCGATGAGTAAGATCTACTATAGGGGAGCGAGAGCAGCCATACTGTGCTACGATTTAACAGACAAGACTAGCTTTGAGAAAGTTCGATTCTGGGTCGGTGAATTACAGACTAATGAGGAGGTGAGACATATAATACTATTAGATTATTGTTTCAGTTTTTCCATCTCTCTGTACTAAAACTTTAAAGTTTATTTTGAATAAATTGAAAATTTATGTATTTGCACTTGATGGAAATTATTGAGGGAGTGTGAACACACTTAATATAACCTACAGTTATACAGACTTACTGATACCTGACTTTAAGGACATTTTATAATACAGAAAACCTGGCTTTACTGATACCTAGCTGACTTTAAGGACATCCTATAATACAGCAAAACCTGGCTTTACTGATACCTGCCTTTAAGGGCATCTTGTAATATTCCATAGCTGTCAAACCTCCCTAATAAGAAAGAAGACTCCCTTATTTTGACCAAAATTTACCAATCTCCCTCCAAACTCTGAGGTTCAAGTCCAAACAAACACAAACTCAAAATCTACATCCTGTGGTCAAATGATTTAGTTGCCGCAGGGTGTGTGTAATAATCATAACAGGTGTGTCTGAATCAATTGAATGCTTTTTGAGTTATTCTTATACATTAAAAGGGAAGGTTAAATTTAGCAAAGCAGTTTCAGTCGTGTTTCACTAACTTTCTCCCTTATTGGAAATGTGGAATGAGGAAGATCTAAAAGAATTATTTAGTAAAACCTGACACTGACACCTGACTTGAAGGACACCTTGTGATAAACGGTAAAATCTGACTTTACTGGCACCTGACTTTCAGGATATCCTGTGATAAATGGAACCTGACTTTACTGAATCTTAACATGAAGAAATCCTAAAACACGGTGAAACCTGACTTAAAGGACATCGTTGAATATCAGACATGGCTTTATTTTTTTTTATTACTTTTTCTAGCTTTACTAACACAATGTCATATCTAGCCAACTGTATGTTTGTTCTCTTTTATGTCAGGCTTTAATTGTAGAACTTTCTGTTGTCTCTCTGTCACAAGCACAAAGAAAATCTTAGAAGACGGATGACCAAGAATTGTTAAGATATAATATGAATGTTTTTGTTTGTCCAATTATTAATGTATCTTTGTGGTACAACGAATGATCTCAAAGACAATGACCCAGGACTGTAAGATGTAATGAAAGTAATTGTTTGTAGAATTGTCGGATGTATCTTTGTGGTACAAAGAAGGATCTAATAGACGATGACCCAGAATCTAGAGCAGTCAGTTTGAGTGTGGTGCAGTCACTAGCACAAGGTAAGACCAGTCTAGTGTGGTCAGCTCATTTAATATACTAATTGCTAAATGAAAATTAGCTAACCTCTATCCTTTTGTGTGAAGGTACATGTGTTTATATTCAAGTTGGTACCAACCTTAATTTACCTGTAGGATTTATCTGGGAAATAAGTAAAAAGAAAAGAGAAAGTTTAAAATTTACAAATTTAGTAATCTAGTAATCTAGTATATTAATCAGAATTGTCCAATGATCACTGTTATCCTAGCTATTGTCTTCTGATGGTAAATGCATTGAATCATTACTAGTTTCCATGGATATATTCCTGGTATATATGGAGACTGATGAAGCTACATGTAGTCTTGTTTCGTTTTCAGATTTACAGTCGGACATTTATGAGACATCCAGTGTGACAGGAGAAACTATTGGTGAGTATATAACACTTTGTCCACAGTTATACTACAGAGAAGGTTGCCTACAAAACATCTGATAATCACCAATTAAAAAGAAAACTTAACTATTTTGGTGTGTTCACCTGTATAAATCTTAATAAACAACTTTGCAAACGTTAGAACTTATTTTTGTTGGAAAGCATTTTAATACTAAAAACTTGAAAATTTGACCTTGACATTTGACCTTGTGATCTTGACCTTTGACTCTCATTTATATCAACTTACATACTTCTTCTAGTCATAAACACTTGTAGCAAGGTTGATGACATTCCAAACATGATAGTTTTCATCAAAGTAAAGTTGACCTTTGATTTTTCACCTCCGATGTACTATATACATCGGTCTAAAGCTGTACCAGGTTTAGTGATCCAATGGTTTGTGACTTTTTATCATCGACCTTGACATTCAGTCTTTACACACTTATCTCTTTCTTATAGCATGATGAATACATGTAGTAAGTCATTACTTCATTGGCAGAAATGATGTTTAAAATAAAGTCGACCCAGTTTAAACCACGGACCTGTGACCCTTGACCTGTAACCTCTGTAGCCTGATCTATTATTCCATATGCATTGGTGAACAACTGTAGTAGGAATGATGTTACTTCGATACATTGATGTTTTTAAGACTGAACCAACTAACACTGAGTGACCTTGTGACCTTGACTTTTGACCTTCAACTTGTGCTTTAGCTTTAATTGCTTATATTCCAATGATTTACTGGGATGTGTGATGATTGAACTGCAAAGTGAAACACACAATATTGTGTGCCATTTTCTACCGATCATAACAAAGTGTTCACATGTCACCTGTCTTGCCAAAATTTGTTTGTTTGCTATTTTCAGATGAAATGTTTGATAAAATTGCTGCAGATTATGTCATAAATATGAAAAATATTCCTCCAACGACAGAAAATGGTAAGATTTTTCATAAACTTAATGTAACATTTCCTTTGTTGGTAAATTTGAGCTGAGTTGAAAGTTCAAGATTTGAGCTTTTGTGCTAGTACTGTTTCTTGTAGTTATTAGAAATATGTTATCATTGGTCAAAGTTGAACATACATTTAGGAAATCACTTGTGAATTAGTTCAGGGTTTTTACAGGTTTTAATTAATTATAAAGGGGTTAGCCTTGAAAACCCCTAAAATTGATGAAAATGCCCTAAAAGCCCCTAAATATATTTTAAATCTCAAAATAAGCCATGAATTTGCGAAATGATCATTGAACTATGATTATATTAATTTTGGTTGTTTTGTTGTGTTATTTTCATAAAAATGAATTCAGAAAGAAAAGGAGATACAGGTATTTGTTATGAGTTAATTTCTAGATTTTCAGACACTGACCAGTGTTAGATTTTAGCTTTAAGGTTTTTATATGATTAATTTACCAATCCAAATCTAAGTATTTCAGGAATTTGCAAATGGGCGGAAGGGGATATTGATATATATTTTCGAAATTATATCATCATCTGTGGCTCATATATAAATTTATCCTTATCGTTCAAGGGTTATATTAATTTTTGACAACAACGTTGACTGAGCCCCTGGTCTTGATGAAGCATACACTTCCTGTTTCAAGTGATCAAGTGTTCCTTTCCCCTGAAACTAAAATCCCATCAAGTTAGATTCACCTACAGGAAGTAGATACACTAAAGTCCCATCAAGTTAGGTTACCTACAGGAAGTAGATATACTTTATCTTGTATTCAAGGTCTCTAACAGTAAAAGAAATGGTACTGAAGTTTGTAAACAGTAAACAATAATTGTTTGATTAGAATTTTTACTTTCATATTTTAATTTTTGCAAAGTCTGGTACACTGTCATTTTAACAAATTATTACATTGTAATCTTATCAAACAATACAATGTCATGAATAATTTATTTTTTATCGAAGATTGATTTTAGATAAACTTATTGCGTCATAACATTATGAAATATTTCATGTTGAGAATACATTGATTTGTATAATTATATATATGGAGCTGTTTATTATCACTTTTTAGGTCACCTAAGCTTTAGCTCAAGTGACCTATTGCTATCTGTCTTCGTCCGTCGTCCGTTAACATTTTACATTTTCAACTTAAGCTGAAATACTGGCAAAGGGATTTCATTAATCTTTCATGGGAAGGTTACTGACATCTCCCTGACAAAGTGTTGTTATTTTTCGGGAAGATCAGAAATCCAACATGGCCACCACGGCCACCATTTTGAAAAACTATTTCAAACTTAAAGTCAAGTTCTGCTAGGCTGATTGAACTAAAACTTAATAGGAATGATCGACTCATGGTCCTGACAAAGTGTTGTTATTTTACGGGTCAATAAGAAATCCAATACGGCTGCCACTGCTGCCATTTTGAAAAACTATTTCAAACTTAAAGTCAAGTTCTGCTGAGCCGATTAATCTAAAACTTTGTAGGAATGATCGTCTCATGGTTCTGACAAAGTGTTGTTCTTTTTTGGGTCAAACAGAAATCTCATATGGCCGCTACAGCCGCCATTTTGTAAAAACAATTTCAAACTTTAAGTCAAGTTCTGCTGGGCCGATTTAACTGAAACTTGGTAGGAATGATCGACTTATGGTCCTGACAAAGTGTTGTTCTTTTTTTGGGTCAAACAAAAATCTCATATGGCCGCTACAGCCGCCATTTTGTAAAAACAATTTCAAACTTTAAGTCAAGTTCTGCTGGGCCGATTTAACTGAAACTTGGTAGGAATGATCGACTTATGGTCCTGACAAAGTGTTGTTCTATTTTGGCTCGATCAGAAATCCAATTTGACTGCCACAGCCTCTATTTTGAAAATAATATTTCAAACTTAAAAACAAGTTCTAATAGGCCGATTTAACTGAAACTCTGTCTCATGGTCCTGACAAACGTTTGGATAACTATTTTTTACTCAAATTGGTAAATATTTCAACAACAAAAATAATTACTGTAGGACTCAGGTGACCGTTAAGGCCCATGGGCCTCTTGTTTTTATATGTATGTCTACTTAAATTTTTAGCTCACGTGGTCCGAAGGACCATGGTGAGCTTATGCCATACCGAAGCGTCCGTCGTCCGTTCGTCATCTTTTCCTTTTAAAACGCTACTAGTCATGAACAACTGAGCAGATTTTGTCTAAATTTGGTCAGAAGCATCCTTGGGAGAAGGAAAACACATTTTTTCTGGCCCCCCTGGGGGCTGAGGGGCGGGGCTAAATAGGGTAAATATAGCAAATTCTTTAAAATCCTTCTTCTGTAGGAATGAAAGGATTTGGTCCATATTTGGTCTGAAGCATTCTTGGGTGAAGGTAATACAATTTTGTATAAACGTTGGGTGTGGCCCCCCAGGGGCCTGTGGGGCGGGGCCTAATAGGGGAAATATAGCAAATTATTCTTTGAAATCCTTCTTCTTCTGTAGGAATGAAAGGATTTGTTCCATATTTGGTCGGAGGCATCCTTGGGTGAAAGGGAACAAATTTTGTATAAACGGAGAATCTGACCCGCTAGGGACCTGAGGGGCGGGGCCAAAAGGGGGCAATTGGGCTATATTGTTTCAAGTGACTTCTTCTCTGGAACTAAGAGATAGATATCAACCATATTTGATAGGAAGCATCCCTCGGTAGTGGAGATTCAAAATTGCACAAATGGTTGGGCTGAGGGGCAGGGCCAAAAGCAATCTAATTAAAATTATATCTTCACATCGCTCCCGTTTACTGATATGTCGCGTTGAAGATCTAACAACATCCCGTAGAGGGTCATGTTCAGGCGACCTTTGCATTAACCAATCAGATGAGAGCTTACGCATTTCTGTAAGTGATGATGTAATGATTTCGGAACACACTTGCTATGATAAAAGACCGAGAGGTGTCAAATGAGCATCGAAAATGGCGGCGCCCATGACACCACGCCGTGTCTATCTACAAGTCAACGTTTGTACAATTTGTGGATTTTGCTTTGAAATAAGAGAGACTTCCTCTTCTGGTGATGTTGTCGTTAAAAAGTTTAACAACCTGAAACTAAAATTAACCAATGACAGGCTTCGCAATATTCAAACTATCACTGGAGACGATTTTAGGCTACGAGGTGTCTGCATTAAATGCTACAGATCCTGCTTTCTGATTGGTTGAAAGAAAGAGTTATGTCGCGTTTTGATTGGCTTGTTATAAATACGATAATGCATTCATGTTGACCTCTGACGTGACCCTCTATGGGATGTTGTTAGATCTTCAATGCGACATATCAGTAAACGGGAGCGATGTGAAGATATAATTTTAATTAGATTGGGCCAAAAGGGGGCAATTTGGCTATATTGCTATAAACGACTTCTGTAGAATTATGCCATGGGCATCGATCATATTTGGTTAGAAGCATTCATGGGTGGCAGGGATTCAAAATTGAACAAATGGTGGGGCTTCCCCACAGTGCTAAGGGTTGGGGCAAAAAAAAATGTATTACTTGGAAATGGTTGAGATCCCCACAGTATAACCATATATACAATTGTTGAGTATAAAGAGAAGCATGCACATTTGCTTCCAGGATGGCCTAGGGTCTGGCCCCACCATTTGAAATGAATGCACATATGCTTCCAGGATGGCCTTGGGGTCTGCCCCACCCTTGGAGACTTATCCCTTGGGTCATAACTTTGAAATGGTTAAGATCCCCACCCCAAAACTATATATATATACAATTGTTGGGCATAAAGAGACAAATGCAGTCATGATATTAGAATTGATCCTGGGGTCTGGCCAAAACCCTAGGGATTTAGTTTCTGAGTCACAGCTTGGAAACAGTTAAGATCCCCACTCCATAACCATACATTAAATTGCTAGGCAAAAATCTAATACAGACATACTACAAGAATTGGCATTGGGGTCTGGCATATTCCCTTGGATCTCATTCTGAGAATATTTTGCCATGATTGCTTAGATATCCAGGTGAGCGATACAGGCCCTCTCGGCCTCTTATTGTGTTCTTTCAATTATGTTGAGATTATAAAGCAGAAAATGCTAATGGTGTATACCATTTAAAAAATTCAACTGAAATAGTGTGATTTTGCATCAATTTTAAACTTATACAACTGAAGTGTTCCTCCTTACCACTGCAATTTGTCTGAACAGCCTTTGTATGTGTATTATAGGAATAGATAAGTCAGTAATTTTAGGGTTTGTTAGTTATAGTGTTTTACAAGTCTGTATGTCCACATTTCCGTCTGTTTAAGGTGTTGTTCGATTTATTTCCCACATTATTTCACCTGGGATCATTAAACTTGATACATCCTGGGAAGGCTGAGTGTCCTATAAAAATATTGGTCACTGTGACCTTCATTTTGATCTTTGACCTTTAAATTAAAAGTTCAAAATATGTGAAACAATGCTTGTCCAAAGCATATCTCCCACATTATTCACCTGCAATTAAAATGTAGGTCTTCTTCTCAGGAAAGCTGCACTGAGTGAAAATGGTCCTTATAAGTTCTACAACAAGTGTTCTTATTTTTCGGGCCTATCTGAATATCCAAGATGGCTGTCCTAGTTTCTTATTGGCTTAGACAATTTTGACTTCTCAAGCAAGGCTGCGCCAGTCAACTCCAAATTTTGTACAAATGTTCTTATTGAGGTCCCCAACAAGTGCTCTAAATATAGTGTTTATTGGAAATTCAAGATGGCTGTCCTGGTCTCTGATTGAATGAGACATTTTTATTTTCCTTTTATTCTGGAACAGCTGCTCTTTTGACTTTCTCAAATGGCTGCATTCACTGACTCTAAACATAGTACAAATGTTCCTTTTAAGATGCCCAACAGGTGTTTTTACTTTTGGAGGGGGCCGCAGTGGCTAAGTAGTTAAGGCATCTGACATTCTGCTACCATTAGCCCTCCAGCACTGGGTCGCGGGTTCGAGGCCTACGTAGGGCAGTCGCCAGGTAATGGCCGTAGTCGGTAGT